ATATAGATACAAAGTGGAAAAATCACAAGCATCAAAGAATCACCCATGTGTCAGTGGTGCCAAATTAATAGAACTGCAAAGGTTATAAAGGGGTTCTTATGCATGCCTGGCTAAAAGCATCAGGGGTAATAGTGAGCTAGCTCCTGACTTGACCTTTGTTTTCTATTTCACTTCATTAATTTTCAGTGATAGTTTTTCAGGCTCAAAGACCTAGTTACCCTTTGCTTATGTTCTGGCCACCTCTGCTGAAATCTACATCCTTATCCAAAGTGAGTAAACACGGGCTGGTGAGATGGCTCAGTGGTCTAAAGCACCTACTTGGAACGGGCTTAGCAAAGCACAGGGATCGCGGTTCAATCCCCCAGCACCACATGCCAGCCAGCCCCGCCCCCTGGTGGGCTGAGCTGGACACACACACACACACACACACATACACACACACACACATAAATAAATAAAACAAAGTGAATAAACAAAGGAGGAAGTGTAACTCGCACTGCAAAATGGAGCTTCTAAAGCTCAATTTTTCTTGCAGAAATAAACAACTTCTCCAAACCTTACACCCCCAGCACTTATGTAAGTAAGCACTTCCTTCCCTTAATCTAAAAGAATTTGTAACAAGATATGAAGATGCGAGCCCTCCTAGAGGCTGCAGTCAGGCGACTTCCCACAAATAAAGAGGGATGAACCAAGGATGACTTAGAATGATAAAGCAAGTGTGGAGACCCAGGTTCTCCTTGTCTCTCCCCTCCGCTCTGTCCCTTGCTATGAAAGGCCCCTGCCACCTGTGCAAGGGGAGATGGTGGAGCTAGCTTGGTTTTTTGTTTGTTTGTTTCCCTGGTACTGGGGATTGAACTCAGGACCTTGAGCTTGACAGGCAAGCGCTTATTCTACTGAGCTATCTCCCCAGCCCCGGAGAGCTAGCTTGGAATAAATCTTTTCTCCTTTTTACTCAAAATATGGCCTCCTTTGATTAGGCCAGTGGCAAGCAGGTGAAAATATTAGCGTAAATGTTTTTTTTAAATTTCATTTTAATGAGAAAAAATAAAATAGCAGTGAAACAGTTTCAAAACAGGTTAGTAGGACAGTGATAATAATTAATACATTGTGGGGGCTGGGGAGATAGCTCAGTAGAATAAGTGCTTGCCTGGCAAGCTCAAAAACCTGAATTCAATCCCTAGTTCCGCCAAAAAAAAAAAAAAAAGGAATAATTAATACATTGCATATTGTTGTCCTTGTATTAGCTATTCAGAGGACAAGATGCAGACATGATATCTTGTCTAAGCAATATTAACACAAACCTTTCTTCTCAATGAGCTAAGTAGCTGTATATCTATCCTAACTATCTTGTATATACATATATATTTTTTTCCACAACAAAACGGTCCTTTATTTATATCCCCCTTTCTGTTTTATTTTCTCAGAGATGGGAGTTCCATTGCAGTTAAGTATAAATGGTTTGTAACTTTCCATTTTTCAGATTTTGAAACTGAGGCTTAGACAAAGTGTCATGATGGATATATGGGAGTTTGGCAGAGCCAGTTTCAGATCCCGGTATTCCTAACTCTAGGTTTTCTCAACTTTAGCTCTTTTAACATGTGGGGTCAGATAGTTCTTTGTGGTGGGGCCTAAATAATGCATTGTAGGGTATTTGGCAAAGCAGTTGGCATCTGCGATATTAAAGTGCCGCCCGTACCTTCTACATGAGATCCTTCCAGACATTGAAGATGTTTTTGTTTTTGTTTTGTTTTTTGTATCTTAGGGAAGGGTCTACAGGGTGTTCAGGGTCTCACTACTGGATAGGACTCGTAGTGCCTCTCCTGTTTATAGCCTCCCAAGTGCTGGGATTATAGGCGCACACCACCATGCCCAGTCTCCAAATATTGAAGATGTCTCCTGGGAGGCCAACTTTCCATGTAAGAACCATGTGTGTACTACTGCTCTGTGACCCGGGTAAACAAGAAGGGGACTCAGCAGAGTCTGCATTTGTCTCCACTGGGATGGGACTCCATTAGAACACCGACCTCTGATCTGCCTGGAAAGCAAGCAAATCCATTTCCTGGATTTGGACACAAAACAAAGGATCATGGCTATTTATTCACCTGTCATTCAGTAGATACTTGCCCAACACATGTAAAGGACAGAACCCAAATCCAGCCTCTGGAGATAAAACAGGACGAACACAATCTTTTGTCCTCCCTGGGACCATTTTCTATAGATAAAAAGGAGCTTAGTGGCATAGATAGATAATAATGGCCATCCGATGAGATGAGGTTAGCAGTGGGGGTAGGGATGTCCTAATTCAGGAGGCGATGTTTGTACGGAGAACTGCAGTTTGACTGATATCTAGGGAGAAAATATTAATTAAGAATAATAATTGTGGGGCCGGGGAGATGGCTCAGTGGAATAAGCACTTCCCTGGCAAGGGCAAGGGCCTGAGTTCAATCCCCGGTTCTGCCAAAAAAAAAAAAAAAAAAAAGAATAATAATTGCAAAGACCTTGGGGTGGCCGCCTCAGTAGCTGAAGAGGAGGAAGTGGGGCCATGAATGAAATTAGGGGCTAGGCAATGAGGTCTTTTTTTTCCCCTGCAGAACCAGGGATTGAACTCAGGCCCTTGTGCTTGCCAGGGAAGCACTTAATCCACTGAGCCATCTCCCCAGCCCTAGGCAATGAGGTCTTAAGGCAGGTAAAGAGAGTCATGTTCGTGATATCCATGGTGACTTGCTAGCTTATCCAAGACCATACATTACCTGGGAGCAGGGCCAAGATTTAAGCTGGACTTCTGTAGCTTTTCTTTCCAACTAGACTAAGCCAGATGAGCCTCTTTCTCCTAGGCACAAGTTCTTTGTAAAATCACACCGTCACTCTGATGTAAAACCACACCCTCACCTGCTCTGTGACTCACAGGACTGGGCCAATGTCTGCAGGAGACTCGGAGATGGGGAGAGAAGGAGGTCCTATATAAGAAGGAGGCCTGCTGGCCTCCAACTGTGTCCTAAATGGTCAGAGCCAAGCACAGCTTCAAGCCAGCATCCTCTGAGGTAGAGACTGCGTGATGACTGTGGCCCTGATCCTCCCCGTAGCAGCATGTGTGTTCTCACTGGGAGTTGGGCTGTGGGTTATCTGCAGCCAACTTATGACTGAGGACATCCCAGCAGAGGTTGACAACCCCTGGAAATTGAGGATCTTTAGCTACATTTTCCAGCTGATGATGACGTGGGTGAGTTTGTATTTTATTTCTCCCCTCATCCTGAGGGTTAAGGAGAGCTTTGGGGCAATCTCATACGAGAGTTTCTAGGTTAACTGACACTAGTATCATGCAGCCTGTGATGGAGGCTGACAACACATCCTTGACTCTGAATAATCTCTATTAGGTGGTTCTCAGCTGCTTCCCCCGTTTCTGAAACTGGACTCAGCTAACAGCCGCAAAACTCGAAGAATGACTCATTGCACAGTGTTTTAGCTAGTTACTCAGCACTATAAGAAAACATCAGACATGAGCAACTTATAGAAAGAAAAGACTGTTTTGGCTCACAGTTTTGGAGGTTTCCGAGCATGCTCGGTTGGGCTAGGTGCATCCAGCGTGTGGTGGGGCGCCCTGTGGTGGGAGCACTTGGCCAAGCGCAGCTGCTTGTCTCAAGGCTGAGGAATGAAAGTGATGAGGAATGAGGGCAGGTCCCATAAAGCCTCCTTCAAGGGCATCCCCTAATTATGGAAGGAACTCTCACTAGGTCCCACGTGCCACAGCTTCCACCACCTCCAAATTCTACTACCTGAGGACCAAGCCTTTGTGACCTGGACCTCTGGGAGACATGGAACATCTAAGCTATAGTATTCTATAACTATCATGACCAGAAAAGATAACAAAAAGCTCACAATGCTCCCTGTCCTGATTTGTCTTCACTTTCTTCGTAATCCTTATCACTGTGAAACTATACAGGGAGGAATGATTTTTTTCAGAATCTTTGCACCCAGTTATTACTGATCCGTTAGGTAGAGCCAGCAAACAACAAAATAAATGGGTGGCAAATTAGAGCATTAGCACAAATGGATGAAAACAATAAAATGATTTTTTAAAAATTTTATGAGCTGAGTATAATGGCTCATGCCGATCACCCAGAATTTTTGTTGTTGTTTTTAATGTATTTGGCACAGGGTCTTGCTACACAGTTCAGACTCATAGTGATCCTCCTCTCTGCAGATGTCCCAGCAGTGGGATTTCAGGTGTGCGCCACCGTGCCTGGACTCAATTTCTGACTCAGCATGCCCGGGGACAGGGCCGGCATGGCATGCAGTACTGAGGAATCGAATCCCAGTCCCTGCACTTGCCTAGGCAGGCATTTAGTCCACTGAGCTGTCTCGCCAGCCCTCCCCCAGAAATTTGCAAGACTGAGACAGAAACATCACAAATTCAAGCCCATCCCAAGCAACATAGTGAGACCCTGACCCAAAATAAAATATAGGGCTGGGGAGATAGCTCAGTAGAATAAGTACTTGCTTGGCAAGTGCAGGGTCCTGAGTTCAATCCCTGGTACCGCAAAAATTACATAAATAAATAAATAAATAAATAAATAAATAAATAAATAAATAAATAAATAAAATATAAAAGGGGCTTGAGGATGTAGCCCAGTGCAAAATCTCTGGCCAATATATGTTGCTGTTGAGAGTTGAGACACTGTTTGCATAATATAACCCCTGTCTTATTTCCTATGCTTAGTATACATAACCCTTAAAATATTTGCAAGTAGGTCATGGTGGCAATGGCATGGATGTTGCCAGGATGACTTTACAGTATTTTTCTAGAGGGTTAACAGAAATGAGTATTGAAAATATTTGGGTTAAGTCTCTCACATGACAAAAAGAGAGATGCTGGACAGCAAAAAAACTCTAGATAGTGTTTCTTACCACTAGAAACAGAACCTGCTTTTCTGAGAAACTATGACAGGGTTCTGCAGTTTTTCTGTCCCGGCCTTGACTCTCATTCCCATTGTAAGGCTTCCCAATGACAGTGACTTAGTTCTCTCATTTACAAAATAGGGTGCAATAATAGCTCCTACTCTATGGCATTTTACAGATATTCCATGGAGTAATCTATACAATGTATGGCGAGGAGTGATCCCTTCATAAAAAGTGGCTAATGTCACTGTTGACTTTTTCTGCAAAGATTGGCTATGCAATCACTATGTGTCATGCTTCTGGCTCAGTGTCAATGATGGGGGAGAGACAAAGTCACAGAAAGTTTCTGTCTGCAATGAGCTTGGAGTCCAAAGCTCCAGAATGTGTCCAAATGATCCCATGTTCACAACTAACCTTCACTGGAAATGTAGCTTTCTCTCTTGGTGGGAGGAAGACAATCAGTGACAGTTGAAGCAGGATTGCAACTTAGTCACCAAAAAGAATCACAGATATTGGCCAGAAGGCTTGTGGCTCAGAAAAGGGATAGGAAACATGGGAAGTGTATACATCCTGCTCTATTTGCTTGTCTATTTTTATTTTGCAACTGTCTAGACAGAGCCAAAAGGAGAGAGAATAAGATAAAGCACAAATAATGGACATTGAGCCCAGAGCCTACACTCTGAGCTATATCCTAAGCCTTTAAATTTTTTGTTTATGTTGAGATAGAGTCTTGCTAAATCACTAAATTGCCCAGGCTTGACTCAACTTTCTTTTTTGAGACAGGATCTCATCATGCAGTTCAGGCTGGTCTTGAGCTCACTTTATAGCCCAAGTGGAAAAAATAAAAAATAAAAAGAAAGAAAGAAAAGTTACAGTGTTTTGGAGCCTGGGAGATGGCTCAGTAGAATAAGCGCTTGCCTGGCAAGCACAAGGACCAGAGTTCAAATCCCCAGTTCTGAAAAAAAAAAAAAAAAAAGTTATGGTCGTTATGGTCCAGGTGGATCTCACACTCACAATGATCCTCCTGCCTCAGCCTCCCATGTGCTGTGATTACAAGTGTGCACCACCATGCCTGGCCTGGCCCAACTTTTGATGTTCATGCCACAGGCTCCTAGAGAGCTTGGGTTCTAGGCATGTGCTATCCTGCCTAGCTCCTGGTTAAGAAAATCATGGATAGCATATTATTTTTCGCAAAAATATTCTGGTAGATATAACCTAAAGATAACAATTCTCCATTCCCCTTTAAACAACAAAAGTCACTACAACAGTTAGTAACAAACACATGACAGACCCAGATAGTTACCCCAGGAAGGACATGGCGTGTCCAGGCTGAGGGGAGGCAAGAAACCCATTTGGGCAGAAGTATTCCAGGCCAAGGAACAGCCAGGGTGACCAGAAGCCTGGGTTGCAGTGGCTGGTAAAAAGTGTGGGGAGAGCAGGTCAGGAGAGGGTGGCTCACATGGGAGCCAAGGGACATGGCTTTACTACAGGTGTGATGGGGACCTGAGGGTGCTGAGTTGTGCCGTAGCCCAATCTGAATGCTGTTCCCCAAGTCCCTTCTGGCCACCTGCAGGGAGCAGATGTGGAGCCAGAGAGCAGGAAGGGGTGGAAGTGCCCCCTGTGCAATTTCTTCTCAACACATGTCCTCTTCTCTCTCTAACAGGGGATGATTTTTGAGAAGTTGGGATTCTGTTATAGAACAGAGTTTGTCAGTTTTTTGCACGATCTGCCACCACTAAAGAAGCATCCAGGCGTTGTGGTCACGGATCTCCATTTTGGGACAATCCCTGTGAAACTGTACAGGCCTGAGACACCCTCAAGTAGGCCCAGACCTGGTGTTATCTTCTTTCATGGCGGTGGGTCCGTCGTGGGAAGCTTAAGTAAGAGACTTTTCTTGGAATTTTTGAAAGACCGTTGATGGAACCTTGTGGGAGAAGCTTGGAAAAATGATTACCTCTCTGGGTTTTAAATTTCACTATTACTACAAGGAACCCCAGGCAGTCAGTGGGTGTCAGGTCATTCAGAAAGCAGATGAGATGCAATGACCTCTTCCTAGAAGTAGGAAATATAGGAGAGATGATTAACCTCTATGGTGGACTTTTAAATTTTTTAAAAATTGTTAAAAAGACACATTGCTATTAACCCCCCTCAAGGTACTTCCTTCATTTCGATCACACTTTTACCCCTGTTCTTGCCACTTTCTGAAGCAGTTCTGGAAGTCTCCTTTCGTGAGTGTCTTTTAGAGGTCTGATCAGAAAGACAGGAAGTGCTGCTGCTGAGTCCCCTCCAGGGGAGGGGCAGGCTCATAAAGATATTGCACTGTGTCTTCGTCCACCTTATTCCCCAGATCGAACAACTTGGCAGTTCTAGCTCTACCCTAAAGTCAAAATAGCCATGAAAGGGAAACATGAATCTATTCAGGGCATCAGGGCAACCATGACAGTGCAACTGAAGACATGAAAGAGGCGCTGGGGAGATGGCTCAGTGAAATAAGCACTTCCCTGGCAAGCTCAAGGGCCTGAGTTCAATCCCCAGTTCCACAAAAAAAAAAAAAGACAGAAAAGAGGACTTCCAGAACTGCTTCTGCAAGTGGCAAGAACAATGCTATAAGTGTGTTCAGAGGGAGAGGGAGTATTTTAAGGCAGTTAATAGCAATATGTTTCTCTGTAATCATTTTTATAAATTTAAACATTACCTATGTTTCAGTTATTCTGTGTGTGTGTGTGTGTGTGTGTGTGTGTGTGTGTGTATGTGTGTGTGCACGTATACTCTAGGAAATTCTGTCAACCCCAAATCCACAGGTGCTCAAGGCTCCTATATACAATAACATGTTTCTTATAATGCACATATAATTGCTCATACACTTCAAATTGTCTGTAAATTAGATCTACTATCTGGTATTATATAGACGCTATGTAAATAGTTGTTACACTACATGTTTAGGGAACAGTCAGCCCTTTCCAATAACTCATTGTGTATTCACTACAGACCTGCTTTTGCAGAAGAAGACATTTTTTTTTTGTTTGCATTTTTAGGGAAGGACCTACAGTGTGTTCAGGGTCTCATGACTAGATCGGACTCGAGTGATCCACCTGTTTACAGCCTCCCAAGGGCTGGGATGACAGGCATGTGTCACCATGCCCAGTCTTAGGGGAAGACATTTTTGACCCACAGTAGACTGAACCTGAAGAAGTGAAGTCCCCAATACCACAACACCCAGTTATACACATTTATGGAATTAAAAATATGTACTCAGATAAAAATACATTTATTGAAGTGAAACTCACATGGCACAAGATTAACTATTTTAAAGTACTGTACAGGAGCATTCAGTACATGTTGTATATACGTCACCTGCACTTATTTGGAAATAGGGATTTTTTTAAAAAATATTTATTTATTTATTTATTTTGTGTGTGTGTGGCCAGCTCAGCTCACCAGGGGGCGGGCCTGGCTGGCATGTGGTGCTGGGGGATTGAACCACAGTCCCTGTGCTTTGCTTAGCTTAGCTTGTTCTAAGTAGGTGCTTTAGACCACTGAGCCATCTCACCAGCCCAAAATAGGGATATTTTAACAACTGGATTCCTGGTGAATCTGGTAAACCTTTTATTTTCCAGAAACTCATCATAATTTCTGCTCACATTTGTGCAAGAAGAGTGACTCAGTGGTTCTGGCAGTCAGGTGGGTACGCAAGAAGGGGCCGTGCCAGGTTTCCCGCTCTGATTTCCATTGTTGGCGAGGGAATATGAATTGGGTTGAAGAAGAAAGGCTGGGAAGAATGGGTGCATAGTGAGAAGTGAAGAGGGGAAGGAAAGGGAAAAGAAGAGCAAGACGCTTGGAGGTAACAGTGGCTGGGAATTTTTCTTCTGGGCCTGTGGTCTTGGAGCTTCAGAGAGTGGAAGAGAGTGGAAGTGTCTAAGAGCTGGTCTGTTGGAAACCAGGTGGGAAGGGGCCTTCTTTATGCGAATTTGGTGTAGAGATTCAACACATGAGCACTTTGGGGTAGAACAGCTCTTCATTGAGCAGAGCAGCCCTGCACATTCTCAACATGGACTCCTCCCTCCTCCCTCTGCAAAATGCCAGGGGTACCCGCTCCATCACCAGGACAACCCAAGCACTCTAATGCTCAGCTCCAAGTACCCAGAAGGAGATCCCCTTTAATGGGGTCAACTCAAGGATACAAGAAAAAGTGCTGAAAACAGACCCAAAAAACCTCCATACCTCTCTCCTAGCTGATTTATAAGAGTTACCCACACTACCTAGACCTCTATGAGGCCCTGGTGAACACTGGGCAATGATGACTTGAGCTGGTCCTTGCCTGGCTTCCTGCCTGCTGCCTGAAACATCAACACCCAGGATAGTTCTTCTGAGTAGACTGTCTATCCTTTCTTTCAAATGAACAGACAGTAAAGAAATAACCAGCTGCTCATGTGTCCTCTTTGATGGAGTACAATAAGCCTCCCAGCTTTCTTGTGGCAAGGCTAGTGGAGGAGAGTAAAAAACTGAGAAGTACATGTGGTCAGAAAAGAGACAGACAGACAGACGGGCAGACAGACAGACAGAGATGGACAGACAGAAACAGAAAGAGACAGAGACAAAGACAGAGAGACCTTTTTTTGTAAAGGAATGTAGCTGCCTCTGTTGCTTTGTTTTTGGTATTTTTTATTTTTCTGTAGTTTTTTGGTTGAATTGTTTTTTAGGGGAGGTTTATTTTTTGTTCTTGGTTCCAAGAACTGAACCCAGGGCTTCTGGCTTGCTAGGCAAGCATTCTACCATTAAGCCAAATCCCCAGCCCTGAGGCATACCTAATTTGGAGAAGTACTGTACTGCTGACCTCTATTGGTACAAAAGCCTACAGGGTTATGAGGTCCCCTGCATGAAGTGTGTGTGCATGGTAGGATGAATTAGAATCAAAGCCCAAGAAAGCCTGGAGCTGCTCGTAAGAATCACAAACCAGGGAGCAGGGACAGGTGTGAATTAGGGAAGCCACATAAGGTAGGTTCAGGAAAATAAGGCTGGAATTGGTGATGGTTAAACTGTTGCCCAACAGCTGGGTGACAGGGCTCTTATAAAAGTGATTTGTCCTTGTAGGGCACTGAAGTGGTAAGAATGGCAGCTGTCACTTCACAAGCCATAAAGTAAGAGGAGTTTTCATCTATCATTCATTAATAAACCTACCTTCACCTGCTGAGATTTCAGAAAGGGAAGTTCACAGAATAAATTTGAGCTACAAGATGCAAGATGCAGACAGTTTGGGCCTCCCTTGGCTGACACACACAAACCATGTGCCCTGATTCATTTTCAGATACCACAAGTCACCCAGGCATAAGTTTCCACAGATGATGAAAGACTGTACAGTGGCCACCATCCACTTCCTGAAGTCCCTGGATTTGTGTGGTGTGGATCCAGCCCGAGTTATTGTCTGTGGTGACAGCGTGGGAGGGGGCTTGGCAGCCCTGACTTGTCAACTGTTTGTGAATCGTCCAGATCTCCCTAAGATCCGTGCCCAGATTCTGATCTATGCCGTTCTCCAAGCCCTGGACTTCCAGTCTCCTTCCTTCCAGCAGAATCGGAACATCCCAATGCTCACTTGGGATTTTGCTTTCTACTGTTGGTGTAGTTACCTGGATATCAGCCCTACCTGGAAAAGTATAGTTGAGAAAGGTGCTCACTTGCCTCCAGAAGTCTGGGAGAAGTACAGGAAATGGTTGGGTCCAGAGAATATTCCAGAGAGGTTTAAGAAGAGAGGCTATCAATCCAAGCCCTTTGAGCCTGTGAATGAGGATGCTTACTTAGAGACAAGACTTGCTAGGCAATGGACATGCTCGCCGCTAATCGCAGAAGACAACATAGTGTCTCAGCTCCCAGAAGCTTGTATTGTGAGCTGTGAGTACGATCTCCTCTGTGACCATTCACTCCTGTACAAGAAGAGACTAGAAGACTTGGGGGTGCCCGTGACTTGGCACCACGTAGAGAATGGTTTTCATGGTATGCTTACTAACATTGAGAAAGGCTTCTTCCACTTCCCCTCCTCCTTGAGAATTCTAGATGTGATAGTCGATTTTATTAAGGGACTGTGACATTCTTGCCTTCTTTCCATCCCAGGAATGCTCTACTGTCATTCAGACACGTGACACAGCGTGGGGATAGAGAGGGAGAGAGGTAGTTGTCTCCATTCTCATCTGGGTTTTAGAGTCATACAGTGCATGTTCTTTCTGCTGTCTGGAGCAGAACAGAAGAGACAAATTTGGAGGGTGGGGCTCTCTCTGTGTTCCTCTTTGGGGAAATTTGAGTTGACCTTGGTAAGTGGCCATTTGTGAGAGCAAATCTACACACAGTCTTGCTCACAGTCTCAGCTAGAGTTCAGTCTGTCTAGGCTGATACAGACTAAGAGTGACAGGAATGTCCAGTTGTCAGGACCTTGGAAAAGCCCATGAGTTGTCAGGACCTTGGAAAAGCCCATGCCCATCCTGTAAAATCTCGTGGGACTTTTTCATTTTGGCTCAGTAGATGGCACCATTGTGTACCAGGATGCTGGGTAATGACAGAGGTGGAGAAGCCCCCTTTGGGTACAGAATTATACTTCTTGCTCTTGCCCAGCCTCTGGATGAAGAGTCTTGCATGTCTAGGATAGAGGAGTTAAGATAGTGTGGGTAGATTTGCCCATCATGACTACTCACTGGCAGCAGATGAAGACAGAGCTGCCTGACTACATCAGTTTTACAGTTCCTGAAGTCCAAGTTGAGCTGCTCACAAATAATTCTACAGGAAAGGACTTGAGAACAAAACTGGACACTGAGTCAGAGATGCATGAGGGTTGAGTGCAACCAAATTCAAATACATTCATTGTGAGAATTTGTGAGTGGGTCATGGAAGAAGCGTTAATGCAATCTCTTCCTATTTTAATGCACAGACCCGGATTGCTCCAATCACACAGAAAATTGTACTAGGTTAGGCAGCAATTGCTTCCTGGGATGGATCCCCTTTTGCTGATCTCCTGTGTTGACTTCACCTCCCTCTGTGGTGGCCCTGAGCAGTTGCATGCTTACATTTTCCAAGAGTCGAGCTCATGTTTCTAGACATGTCTCATTCTCAGGAGCTCCAGCAAAAGCTTCTCCTCCTCTTCCTCCTCCTCCTCCTCCTCCTCCTTCTTCATCTTCTTTTTTTTTGGTGGCACTGGGGATTGAACTCAGGCGCAAGTGCTTATTCTACTGAGCCATCTCCCAGGCCAGCAAAAGCTTCTGGAAACTTATATCCTCAATTGGCTTTCTTTGGCTGTCAAAACTAATGTTCTCACAGGGTAGGCCCAGGTCCTATGCTGTCCTCCAAGTGGGAAATGGAGTCAGTCTCTGCTGGCAGTTGTGACACTGGGAAGCCATGGAGTAACAGGTGATATTTGCTGTGCAGTTCTTTGTTCTTTGATGAAAGACTTCAGATGAGACACACAGGCAGGCAAATATAGGTAGAGTTGATCTCAAAGTGATACGTTTTGAAGGTGATGGAGAATGCATCATCAGGTGCAAACGTAGGCAAATGCCAAGGTGACAGGTGCAGCAAACAAAGTCTCCAGCTGTATTTCCACAATTAAATCATCGTTCAAGGAATACCGTTTTCTTCCTCTGAGGTCATTGCTCTTTTACGAGACTGGGGCTGCTTTGATGCACTCTGGAGAGATGAAGTTTCCTTTCACTTCCCTATAGTGGAATATTTCCTTTAGTTTATTTTGAGACAGTAGAGTATTTTTCCAAACATTGACCATAATCTGGACTTTGCATGATCCCCGGACCATATCAGCATGCTCTGAGGAGTTTACATTGTGTTTGGCTAAAGTTTGAAACCATAAGCTTGTTTGGAATTTCTATAGTTAATGACTAATAAAACAAAGGAAGAAATGTCACATTCCCTTTGCTCTGCATGCAGTCCACATCTGTCTCAGGGCCACTGAAGTCTAACTTGCTGCTAATAGTAGGATTGAAGGTTGGGGAAAACAATGAATACTTCTCTAATAGAAGGACAAATGGACGTTGGGTAGATACTGATGCTTACTCTACTATAGACAGAAGCTAAATTGAAGCCTGAGGTAAGGTAGTTGAAGGAGGCAAGAGATGTCAATAGTTACCAACCGAGTTGACCACCTGCCCCAGTACAGTAAACCTTTCTTTGGGAGAGGTGACTAGGCCCACACTCACACTGGCTGCACAAAAAAACCATGCGCATTCCCTTACCTTGCTTTCACTTGAATAGCTATACTGTAGTATGGGCCAGACATTGGCTGGCTTTCTGATTCACTCCCAGCTGACCTGTAGGTGGCTTTGTAGGAGAAGCGGGATCACCTACCGAAAGAACATACTGTGCTGACCACTGAGCTTGTGCAGGACGCTGGGCTGTGAGGAGCACGGTCTTCAGGGTAGGCGTTGGTACTGAAGCACCGCCAGACACTGGCGAAGGAATGTAAATCGACCTTCTGGGAAGGTGATGTGTAGATCTTCTACAGGGAAGTCGTGAGTAGCGGGTGGGCCACTGGAAGTCCTTGCCCAATGGAAAAGAGTTTTAGTTATTTTTTTTCACATTTTATTTTTTTATTTTTTCTTTTCCCCATAATTTTATTGAGAAGCAAATAGCAATGAGACAGTTTCAAACCAAATTGGTAGGACAGTTTCAATAATTAGTTACTTATTGCTGAGACAAAATACCCAACACCCACAAGTTCAAGGAGAAAAGCTTTATTATTTATTTATTTTAAAATTTTTTTTTCAGGGGGCCTGGCCCTAGCTCAGGCCTTTAAGCGGCTGCTTCCACAAAGCTGTCAGCCTCAGGTTGCTGGAGTTCGAAACTCACACCTCTCCCGCTGGCCAAAAGTGCCCTGAAGGCA